ATAATTAATTTAAATAATAATTATTTGTAGCCTAATGTTGTATAAAGTACTGTTGCAGAATGGCACCCTCTATAGAGGACTACAAATCTCAGCAGTACTTTATACAGAAATGCTATTGTTATATAAAGTATTGCTGGGATGTGTAGTCCTTTATAGCCTGTGGCATTCTGCATTGCTGTAAATATTAGGGTTGCACCGATATATCAGCCGCCAAAAGATATCGGCCGGAAATGGCACTTTTGGCTAAATGCCAAAAGTGCCATTTTTCTGCTGATACAGCGGCGCATCCGTGCTTTCTTTCCTCCCCGCTGGGCGCTGCAGGAGGAGGAGAGAAAGTGACAGCCGGCCGAGCGCTGCGGAGGAGAACGCTGTGTTTGTGGGGGGTTTTTTTTGGGGGGGGGCCAAAAAAAAATCTTGCACCAGGGCCCAGGGCCCTTTGTTCCTTAGCTCCGCCACTGACTGAAACCTATTGCTATTCTACACAACATTGGCAATAAAGGTTAACAGAAAAATAATTCTAAAGCATAAATAAATATACATAGATGAGCCATATCTAAAGACTAAAATATAACTGGTTGTCTGCAACTGATAGAGGTGTACATTTCTACAATCATTTTGTTTTTAACGGACATTCTACTCAGAACTGACTTTATGAATAACAGTGGGGGAACATGGCGGCATAATATGTGTTGGCATGGCTGCTTGGAGTATCAATCAGGGTCACATAGTTGGGAAGTCAGTTGTCACCCTATAATAGGAAGCTGTATAAAAACCTTCATGGTGGGATCAATACCACCTGTTCAATCATATCTAACCCCAAAAAGAAGAATTTAATATGTTCCAGCTTACCAGTCCTTGGATGTAGTTGCTGGTTTATTTTCTTCTTTATGGCTTTATTTATGGATTTTTTAACTGCGAATCCTGCAAATAACACACTTCCTATCCTTTCATGCCTATGATTTTCCTTTCCAATGTATCTATAGGAGCAGCCATGGTTATCACCCAGGCTGGCCTTCAAATATGTCTGCCTTTGTTTATCTCCATTATATAGTGAGCTGATCATATTAATAGTTTATAGCATCATTTCTCAACTTTTTTTTCAGTCAAAAAATATGCAAAATCTTCAGGCAGCCCAGTCTAAAACAAGAAAAACCTAAATGTAAAATAAAGTGTTGCCCCTCCATAATCCATCGCAGACTCTTATGCCAGACAAAGATCTAGTATGGATTTTCAGAAGAGACCCACGCAAAAACACTAAAAAAGATGATGTTCTCCCATCACAATAGAGCCCCCCTTAAAATCAGGATCCCTTCTTTCACATCAGAGCCCCCCACCTTTCACATCAGCACCTTCACATCAGGATCCCTCTTCACATGAAAGGCCCCCCTTCTCATCAGAAGCCCTTCTTTTACATCAGTAACCCCCTTTTCACATCAGAGCCCCCCCCTTTATTATCAGGAGCTGCAGCTGTGGCGGCATGGCAGAAGGTGAGAGACAAAGCAGGCCTTGACAAGGAAGACTTTTTTTGAATGGATCCCACCCTTCCTGGACTAGCCTCATTTATTTCTATAGTACTGTCCCAAAATTCGAGGCACCGGTGAGGAAGCCAGAAGGCACGCTGGTTGAGAAAGGCTGATGTATATAACAAATATACAGTTCTTTGTGTTTTCTTATCATTTTACAGGACACTGCATTCTGGCAAGATCAACAAGTATTTTCTATACTTTCTGAAAATGTTCTTAGCCTGAAAAGTGAAAACTAATGCAGCCTGAGGATTGGAAAGTTGCAATATATCACATTTTTGTTTTTGAGTTTAGATATGCTTTAATGAAAAAAAAAAAATAATCTGTACAAAGGTCTTCATCTAATTAAAATGAAAAGAGAATTATTTTAATTATTTGTTGACAATTTATACTGGGGAACTGTTATGTTTTATGAACATACTCGTTAAACCATTCTCGAGGGCTTTTATTCAGCTTGGATTTATGCTGTTTACAGATTTATGAAACATTTATTTATACCTTCATTTGTTGTAAGCCAAGCACATGCACAGTGCTTTGGTCTAGATAACATTGCTGGGTTTATTCAGTATAATAGTGCAAGGAGCCGAGTGCAAAATGCAATACTTATATTTCATAATTCTCTGTTGTGCAAGGCACCAACATGGAGCATGGAGCTGGAATTCTTTTTGAAGGAAAATTACAATTACAAAAGGTGCATTAGAAGCACTGTTAATGTAAGTAATCTTTTCACATATAATCTCACCATTCTTTGCTGTAGTAATACTCATCATACTACAGTCGCAGATTTAGGTAGCTATAATAGCTATATTTAAAGATACTTTTATCTTTATCACTAGATAACTGGATTAAAGATGTTTTTTATGTTGCTAGAGGCACCTTACTATTACTGTAAATGTTAAAAATTAAATTCCTACATTTGCTTTTTATATTCATTGGCAAATTGCATTTTATGGAGCCAGCCAACAAAACAGTAGTGACATATTTTGTCATTAAAGGGATTTCTGATGTCCCAGAATTACAGCTTCTAATTTTTTTGTTGGTTCTGCTGATTTATCTCGTCATTCTCGGAGGTAACATGACCATTTTTCTACTGATCTCCACGGATCGCCATCTTCACACTCCAATGTACTTCTTCCTGGCCAATCTGACCATCCTTGACATCTCTTGTTCTACAATCACTCTTCATAAAGTTCTTTTTACATTCATCACTGGAGATAAGTTGGTTTCCCTTGCTGGTTGTGTGATGCAAATGTTTTTCTTCTTATCTTTCACCTGCAATGAACTGCTTATTCTGACAGCAATGGGCTATGACCGCTATGTGGCTGTGTGCAACCCTTTACGTTACCATGTAGTTATGAACCACAAAGCCTGTTGTTGTCTGGCCGGTGTCTGTTGGGTTTTGGGTTTCTTAGATATCATGCCTTGTGCTTTGAAAGTATCATCCATTACTTGTTACACATCACGGGAGATCAATCATTTCTTCTGCGACTTCGTACCAGTAATGAAGCTTTCCTGCAGTGACACTTATGATTTGCAACTTTATGTGATTATTGAAGGAGTTGTTCTGGCATCCTTTGTTCCATTTAGTCTCACTTTTATATCATATGTTTTTATTATAAGAAGCATACTGAGAATACGTTCCAGTAATGGAAGGTGGAAAGCCTTCTACACATGTTCATCGCATCTCACAATCATCGTTCTTCTTTATGGCACTTTGTCTTATCAATACTTTAGACCAGTTGAATATATTATCCTGGGTTCCTATAAGCTTTCTTCCCTGTTTAATGCCATAGGTGTCCCTATATTAAATCCTCTGATCTACAGCTTGAAGAATAAAGATGTCCATTCAGCCTTGAAGAGAATGTTAAATAAAAATTCTTCCCAAATAAAAAGAGAATAGATAATGCTGATAACGTTTTACAATTATTTTTAAAGTATGGTGCATGTGGTCCACTTATTTTTATTATATTTATATAACCATAATGTGTTATTTTAAACGTAAATAACTTTGTACAGTACATACCGATCAGATAACAATCCAAAACCTCTCATTACAATATTGAACAAATCAGAAATGTATTATGTTGATATATAAAAATATTCAAATGTTAAACACATCAAAAGAGAACTCTATATAAACTGCTACTAAACTACTGACTAAAAACATATTTTTAAAACACACACACCCACACACACCCACACACACCCACAGACACACACAAACATACACACACTTCAACCAGGGATACGTGCAAATGCAGCTTCAGATAAGTTGATTTGTAGCTACCTCTAGCAATGTAATCTAGGACTGGTTGGACAGTAGATAGCCCTCTCCAGGGTCATCTATGGCACATAATCTCTCCTAGCTTAGTCTAGTTATATTGAGTCAAGACATCGAATATGGCCTGACCCTGATTTCAAGGTGGAGATTCTGGGATGGAAAATGTTACAAGGGCTATTAGGAAGGGTGTCTCTCAGACAAAGGCTGTAGTTATCTAGCAATGAGATTTGGGTTTGGGTTGGATGTAGGTGTAAACTAATGTGGTAATATGCCCACTTAGAATTTTGGTCAGCTGGCTTAAGGCCAATAATAGGGGCTTTGATGTGTAAAAGGTTGGGCACACAGTAGTCATAGTGTTAGTGTGCTATTTGTTTTCTGCAAGACTTCCCTTTTAAAAAATGTGCTTTTGTTGCAGGGGTGCAGTATTTTGGGGGTTTCATTTATTAGATTAATATATATTTTTTTTATTATGACTTGATAAGACTTTTTTTAGGTTTAATGTAATCCCATAGTCACATGATATTTAAATATTAAATTGATAGTACAGAGTAGGGCCCCCCCTTAAAATTCCAGGCGGACCCTTATCCAGGTATGCCGACTGGGTAGACAGGAAGTTGAGTGCAGTAAGCATACCAGACCAGGCCATATTCATTTTATCATTTTGTAAGGAGGACCCAGCCCCAGGGGATACAGCGCTAAGTTTGGGTTTTTCCGACTTCACGCTGGGTACACTGAACCTCCCACAGACTAAACACAGACGCATTCACTCATTCTTACAATTGTTCCTTTCATGGGTGTCATATGCTCATGTCTAATGTCTGTTGTGTATATCCATTTGAATTTTGCAACTCTGTATTAAAACCATATGTGGCCCCCTTTACTCTTCCAGCCCAGAGTACCCTACATATTAAACATGTATTGCACATGTAATGTTCTTCTAAGCAAGTAAAACTTAATTCAGCATTGCTGAAGATCTCAGTGCTTCATCTAAACACATAACCAACACCCCTTTCGCAATACAGTAACCCAGTGCTAAATGGCACCAGCATCTTCTGTACCTACAATTCTCTAAATGTTAGAAATAAATTAGCTATATTTAGTCCTCAGCACACAAGGAAAAGTGTTTTTGGGGCCTTTTGCACTTGGTGCTAAATTTTCTTCTGTTGAAAAAAAACTCAGTCCAGGTTATGCTAGGGGTACAATTCCATGTTATTTCTATTTGGGTTCCAGCAGGGACATGACAAAACCTCCATTAGATTTGCTAGTATTCTCTGGCTAATTGGTTTATCAATTCAACATTTGTACCAAATCCTTCCAATGCATCCCGTATTAGGTTGGTAGTTAAAAAAGTGGGGTTGTTTGGAGGAGTTTTATCTTGAAAGATGTTCAGGTTCTTACATGCATATGTATCAACAGAATATATTGTCCCGATATGCTCATTCTGAAGGCACCTCGCCCAGTGGCGGACCTAAGGAACAAAATGCCCTGGTGCAAGATTTTGTTTGGGCCCCCCCCCCCAAAAAAAAACCACAAACACATCGCTCTCCTCCCACAGCGCTCGGTCGGCTGTCACACTTTCTCTCCACCCCGCTGGGACAAGCAGGGATGTGCCGCTGTATCGGCAGAAAAAATGGCACTTTCGGCATTTAGCCAAAAGTGCCCTTTTCGGCCGATATGTTTTGCCGTTTTGCAGAATGGCACAAGCTATAGAGAACTACACATTCCTGCAATACTTTATATAACAATAGCATTTCTGTATAAAGTACTGCTGAGATTTGTAGTCCTCTATAGAGGGTGTCATTCTGCATTGCTGCAACAGTACTTTATACAACATTAGGCTACAAATAATAATTATTTTAATGATAACCTACCCCTGTAGGTTTAGGAGATATGCCTGTTTTCTTCCCCATCTCTCTCATGCCCCCTGTTCTTTCCACTATCTTCATATGCCCACTGGCGGAACTACCAGGGTCGCAGCGGTCGCATTCGCGACCGGGCCCTGGCGTTCCGCCACTTGGGGGGGCCCAGGAAGGAAGAAGGGGCTCCGACCCCGGTAACCGCAGATGTCCCGTCATATAGCTCCCAGCAGGCCAACACTCTCACACCTCACAGACTGACTCTACTCTGCCCGCCGTCCAATCAGCAGGTCCTATTCTGTAGCTGGACGGGGTTCTGTGTGCATAGCTACCTAATATGCATACTCTTCTGATGCTGACGAGGGAGAAGCTCATTGAGCAGAGCTCTGAGCTGAGTAGTGTCCGGCTGTGTAGTATGGAGGAGATCGCTGTGCTGGGTGACAGTGAAAGGAAAATGCAAATGAAATGAAAAACCTGTGATCTACAATGTGTGAGTGTGACAGCAAATAACCCTAATTTATATGCATAACAAGAAATGTCACAAGAAATGCCATACAAGATAATACAAAGAAACACAATTATCTTGTTAAAAAACTTGTTAAAAAATACAAAAATAAACAAATAAATGTATATGCTGTATATATACAGTATATATACTAGGGATGCACCGATACCACTTTTTTAAGACCGAGTGCGAGTACTGATACTTTTGATCAAGTACTCGCAGATACCAATTACCGATACTTTTTCTTAAAGGGACAGGTCACATTTTTTCTAAAGCAATACAAACTAATGCTTTAAGGTCACTTTCTTAATATTATGATTCATGAGATGACGAGGGAGCATGACGCGCTGCGTCATTGCACGCTACCTGGCTTCCTGATCGGCCGGGAAGGCGGCTCCATGCTCTCTCATCACAAGTGATGAGAGAGCATGGAGCCATTTCCTGGACAATCAGGAAACCGGGCAGCGTGTAATGATGCGCTGCCCGGCTTCCTGATACAGGAAGTACTCGTGCTAGGTATCAGAGCATTTGGGCGAGTACGAGTACTCACCCAAATACTCGGTATTGCAGAGTCGCACGGAACCTAAGGACACCTGCACTCCTCTCCCCTGCCACAGTGTAGAGCGGGGGGAGGGCGGAGTCATCTCCTGCCTGTGTTCGGCTGGAGAAGAAGCAGCGGTGTCTGATCTAGAGATGGGTCGCTCATGAGCGATTCGGATCTATTGAGCGGTTCTCTCAGAAGACTGAATGAGCGGTGGCTCAGTAAAAATGAGCGCCGGTTCTCGGTTCTTTGGAATGTCAGTGTAGAATGAATAGGAGATCGCCATTGTAATATGATTCTAGAGCAGAACTCAGCTTCACTCCCTCCCTGCAACCAATCACATCTCTGAACTAGCTACAGCCCTCTAGCAGCTCTGACTTACATTACATGGAGTCTAATGCTGGGCATACACCTTACAACCTTACCTTGTAAGGTAATTAAAAAAACGTACGATCTGCCCATCTTGGACAGGCAGATTGTACTTGCGATCAGCGCAAGCCTGCCCCCGCTGAGGGGCGGGCTTGCGATGACCGCAATGCCGAACGGGCAGTGTGCGCTTGCGCACACTGGCCCGTGCGGCTTTTATCTTGCAAACATGCCACACACCCGCCGAAAATCGTACGATGTTAGGCTGGTTTTCGAACATGTTCCTAAGATAAAAGTAGTGCGACCTTACAGTAGTAGAGGTCGCACGACTTCCACACACCTTACGATAATCGTACGATCGCGGGACTTCCCGCGATTATCGTACGATTATCGCAAGGTGTGTGGGCACCATTAGACTCGTGAGTCAGATGGGAAGTTCGGATATTCAAATGAATCGGATCTTCGGTTCACTTGCTAAGTCGGCAAGTGAACAGAAGCTCAGGAGCTGCCTGACTCTTCATAAAAGATCCAAATCGGAAGACTCTGATCAGAAGACTCAAAAATACACATGTTTAAATCCCTTAGGTAGGCTTACACAGTAGCCTACCTAAGGGATTTAAACATGTGTATTTTTTCTTGTAAATCATATTTTCTGTGAAATTATTTAAACATAAAAATACATTTGTTTTAATCTGGAAGCAATGGTTTTACTTTTAAAATAACTCCCGTTCCCTCCCTCAAAATACACCCCCGTCTCATTTCCTCTCCTACTATAGTAAAAAGAGCGGTTTAGTGAACCATGAGCCATTTAAAAGATCCGGATCTTTTAAGTGAGCGAACCGTTGAGGAGCACTCATGCAGATGAACCATTTTGCCCATCTCTAGTCTGATCTCCACTGCTGGCCAGGACTGCCGACAGGTAAGCAGGGAGGGGGGAGGGCAGGTGACAGGGACTGCAGTCTCTCAGTATTGTCCTCATATCTACTGAGCTGCAGGAGCCATTAACACTGGCCGCGGCTCATTCATATGCTAATTGCTGGATTTGCATATTAATGAGCAGCGGTATTCATATGTAAATGCAGCCATCCTTCATTAATGTGCAAACGCCCTTCCCACTCCAAGGGAACTGAATGAGGGGGGTGGGACAGGGGGGGAGTCAGGTCCTAGACTCGTAGAGTAGAGAAAGCAGGGTTAGGGCTTGTACACACCATATACAGTGCGTTCCAGGGTGGTTAGCTGCTGGAACGCACTGTATCGCATAGTAAACTCTCCCATGCGTTCTGGGGCGGGAAGGGGCGCTGTGGTGCATTGAATTCAATGGCTCCGCAGCCACGCCCCCCTGCCAGCAGTG